CCCCAAAACCCCAAAACCCCAAAACCCCAAAACCCCTAGGCTATAATATCTCAATTTAGATAGAAATAATAATGAATTAACATAAAATTAAAGTGATAGAGAAGAAGGAGTTAATATTTATTATGCCATTCCATGTAGCCTTCAATTAAGAAAGAAAGCTTGGAACAAAGTCTGATTAGCTTTGAATGTCATGCCATCATACACTTCGAAATCATCATTAAGGTACAGCCAAGTACCGTTAAGTGAATTTTTATTGTTATAGCCATCTCTTAGATACCAGCATTACTTGGTCTTGTCGAAAGATATATGAGATTAGAACTTTGAGAGGACTTGATCTTCAATCATCACATCGCATTCCTTAGACCTGCCTATCTTAATAACTTAATCTTCTACATCTCTCTCGGGGTAGAAGTAGAATACTTCACCAGTAGAAGGACCACCAAATAACTTTAATCTTAATTTCATGCCACTTTCATTATTTAGTTTAGATTCGTGAGTACTCAAGCTGTTGTTACCAATATTTAATCTATCATTTACAAGGTTAACTATTATGAAGGAATCTCCCATATTGAGTAATTGATTCTCTTTAAGCTCTAGGGGAAAGTCAACTCTAACGAAAGCCCCGAACCCAATACCTAGATCCTTGATTTAATATATATTCTTGTCCATATTATATTCAATCTGCAGATGTCTTCCCCTGTGTCTTCTTTCAGTTTCCTTATCCTTCGAAGGTATAATAAAGTCATTTATGATCTCTGATTTGTATTAGTCTCTCTTCCCACTTCTCTTTTTGCTTCCAAAATATACAAATCCATCCTTTTGGCTTCTCTCACTGGACTCAAGTCCTTAGGCATTTATTTTGAGGATATGGCCTTTAAGTGGTCCAGAACTCAGAACTTTAATGTTAAGCTTGGGGGCTTAATCTACTATTTTAGCTAATTCCCTTACTCTGGTAAAATTGTACTCACTTTTACTTAACATGGAAGTAGTTCTGATATGCTTAACCAGAAGGTCGTTATCTTTCCTGGTGGTAATATGCATTTCACCCTCAAACTGATTATCGCCTGTGATGTTATTATTTACATTAAGCGCATATTTATTTGATTATAATGCAGCTCCAGCATGTTAATTCAGATATTTCTGATTAGGATCGATATTTTCCTAGTCTTGAATGTCATCACCATTTCTGTGCTTATTCCTTTTTGGGGATTTTTAGTTTTGGATTATTCTTTTCTCAGGGGAGCACAACTCATGATTATCAATTTTCCCGAAAAACCCACAGCAGCCACTTGTTTGTTATTAGTTTCCCATTTTGTGTATTTTAATTTTGAATGCAATCTGTTTAAATTCAAATTTATCTGATTTACGACTTACGGGGTTTTGGGGTTTTGGGGTTTTGGGGTTTTGGGGAAAATTGATAATC